AAGAAACTAAAAAAAAAAGTAGAAAAATGGGGGATCACACTTGTGTATCCATTTATTGGTATGTGATAGATAGTTACTTATCTTTATTCATAGAGCAGTATTTTTTCTTTCCGTTTAAATGGAAGGGGGCGTTAAAGGGATGTGGTGCGTTCATTAAATGCGGGCCACCCCTTTGCCGTTCAAAGTCTTGAACGCCATTTACTTCTTTTATTTATTTATTTTTTGGTTGTTTTAAATGTTATTATAATGCCATGTTCTTTTTTCTTATTTATCAAAATTATTAACTTTCTCTTGTTTCTTTTATATATATGTATTTATATATATATATATTTAATCCAATTATTATCCAAATCATACGTCTCATTATGTATCAAAAATTTACTTTTTTTTATCATCTCATTTTTTCTTGTGTAATTTTAATTTAAGTTATTTTGGTCTTGTAGTATTATTTTATTTTCATGTATTTAAAATTTATTATTATAATTTAATAATATTAAATTTTTATTTTTATAGAGAATAGAATGTTAAAATTTATATTGAATAAGTGGATAATGGGTCTCATATATGTATTAAATGAATGGATATGAATGTGGGTGTGTGTTTAAATGAAGAGAGGTTTAGTGGAAAGATGATGTGGAGATGATGTGGATGAGAGAGAGTGTTAATTTTTAATTGAATGAATGGTAGGGATGTAGATGCCCTAATATATAGGAAAAAACTATGTCCTGGAAATCATTCTGTTGGAGCTTTTAATCATTAGTCACACATGTAGATTAGTGTAGGACATATAATATACGGTTAAAAATCCCAATGAAAAAATTTCGTAACGAAACTGTTGTATTTACCACAGCGGTGGCAGCACTTACAACACTAAGAAATGCAAGGGTCACTCCAGTTTAGAAACGGTCGAACAGAGACAAAACATTATTCATTCAAACTTTCAAGCATCATAAAAGGAGGGGAACTGAACGATTCATCACGGGAGCATTAAACTTTTTACGTACAATTAAGATGGATTTACGTGGTCTAACAAAAGACTGAGTTGATGCAATAAATAATACAGGGAGATAGCTCAATTTGCATTCCAGTACTGGATCACCCTGCAGTCAGTATCCATCGCAAAAATGCTCCCAAAATTTTTCAGGCCTACATAACACTAGCATTCGAGTCCATAAAAAATCAGGCAGGATCAACCTACAAACTCTTCTGAGAATGCCAAATCACATTGTTAGATCACGGATCATGTTCAACAAGTTTGGTCCTTGATTAGTATTATACATGTGAGAACTCCGGTCCTTGATTTTGCATGCAGCATTTCGTGAGGCCTCACATGAGCATTTCACTGACAAAGTTCGTGAGGCCTCACATGAGCATTTCACTGAAAAAGTTCACGTCCGGTTCAATTATCTCTTCCAAATATTTCCATGATCACGTATATGTAAAAGTAGAGTTGGGAGCAATGGAATAAAAGATAAAAAATAATAATAATAAAAAAAAACTATGATAATATTGATAAATGGGTTCAGCAGAATTCATCTTTTCTAAAAGCCAAGTCAAATTTTGGTGGATATTGTATACTAGCTCGATCGGCTGGTGTTTAGAGTGGACCGATCAAAATTTGTGCGCGCCAATCTAGATGGATCTATTTGAAACGTTTAATCCACAATTTACATAGATACTCTAGTATAAACGGGCTTACCAGATAATCTACAATCAATCATCAGCCATGACAGCTTTAATCTTTTATCCTTAAAGTAGCTAGTAATTAATTAATTATGTCTTCCACATAAAGATCAATTTAAGTAGTTTATGGATAAACTTGGATGAGCGACCTCAATCCCAGTACATTAATCTCGTAGCTCGTGAAGCCGGCATCGTAAAAGAGGTTCGCCCATTCTTTCTCGGTTCTTTCCTTTCCCCCGCTCAAAGCCATCATCTCCATATCCCAAAACAGCTGAGTCTCCACTGCCATCGCCTCATCATTCCCTTTCTCATCCTCCACAACAATCTCCACTATTATCACCTTTCCTCCATTCTCCCTGCTCGGTATAGTTTCTTTGCATCTCTTTAGTATTTTGACACAATCCTCGTCCACCCAGTCGTGCATCACGCACTGTGCTCGATCAATTAATGGTCACGTATTTTTTCACGCCAAAAAAAAAAAAATTCATATAAATAAATGGAAATAAACTGTAGTAATTAAAAATTACCTTCATGAGCACTGCATCAGCTGGAGGAATAGACTCAAACATATCCCCACCAACAAAGCTCAAATTGTGACTCCCTTCCAACCCATCCACCACATGCGGAAGCTCAAGCACGCTGCATTTCAATCCCGGGAAGGCATCTACTAAAGCCTCGGCCATAGCCCCTGTGCCACCGGCCACATCCACCACTGACCCCAACCCTTGAAAAACGTGCCCGAACTCTCTAACGATCACGTTGGCCGCCAGCCGCGCGTCGCTCGCCATCCCCTCGTTAAAAGACCGATTTACTCCCGGCTCTTTAGCGGCGATATCCCAAAATATTCCACCATAAGCCGTCTCCAGGGGGGTGGGGTCGTCGTTCGCGAACCACTGGCTCAGGCGGTGCCACGGGTCGGTGAGGAATTGGCTGAGTGTCATGTGCACAAACGGGGCCAGGCTCAGGGGCTCGTTTTTCACGAGGAGGCGGGAGGCCGGGGTCAGGCAGTAGCCATCCTCCGTGTCGGTGATTTTGACTTTGGTCAGCAGCCGGGAATTGACCAGCAGGCGCACGAGGCGCCGTAAGCAGGTGGATCTCGAGCCGTTGATGTTGAGGGAGTCGGTTAGTTGGGAGATTGTGATGGGGCCGTCGTGTTTGTGGATGATGTCGGGGAGGCCGAGCTCGACGACGCATTTTAAAGACATTGAGGTTATGAAGCATAGGGTGTGATTCCAAATGTGGGCTTGAGCCTCCAGTAGCTCTTCACTGGATTTTATCCCGTCAGGCAATGCCATTTTTTTTTTTCTTTCTTTATTAAATGATAACGTGGTTCGTGTGTTTACTTGTGATCATAATCTCTAATTGTTTGCTATTTGTAGAGGCGGATTTGCGGTGTGGTATGTATGCAACGTAACACGACTTTTTCAAGGCCGGCTCCTTACAATAGAAAACCTAGTACTTGTTTGACAATAGATACCATTGGCATTAACAATCCTACACAACTAAAGTGGAATTTAAGCCGCCAAAACCAAACATAGCCATAGAAACCCTACACGATTTAAGGCTCTTCTACTTTAATATCTACTAGATAGTGTTATCCTTTTACACGCCTGTTACTGTTCAAATAGTTATATCCTATGTTTACAAGCTGTGATAGAGCATTGAAACAAAGTTTGATTATTTAAACTTGTGTTTCTTTGTATCTAATAAATAGAAGAGTATGATCACTATGATCATTTTGCCCTTGCACTCCCCCAAAAACATTTATGTACAAATTTTTTGTTTACGAAAATAAAATTATTTGAAATCAACGAACACTTTGTTATTGAACAAAATTCGTCGTCATCGGAGATACTCACAACCACTTTGCACCCAAATCTACACTATTTGTCTCTTTGTACATTTGAACTTGGGACTTCATCCAGGATTGTGAAAAGCATGATCGGAGCGTCATTTTTACCAAAAAATCGACGGGATGTTGGGAACATGAATGAGAGTAGTTTGTTTGTTCGTAGGTTCTTTAGGCCTAAAACATATTTCTAAATTTAGTTTTACATATTGCCAAAATTAGAATTTCTAAAACAAAAAAAATTGCATTCTAGGTTCAACAGAAGTTTCAAATATTCTCAAAACATTAAACCTACAAAATGAGGGAAAATTTCAAAATTAGTCCCACAGATATAGGGGGGTGATAATTTTGGTCCCGACGGAATGCACAAAATATGAATAGTCCCACAGCTTTTAAAAAATGATCAAAAGTAGGACTTTTTTGCCGGATATACTATTTTCGGCCCGGAGTGCCACGTGGCGCACACGTGGCGTACACGTGGCGCACACGTGGCTTATTTTTTACACGCTGGCAGCCGACATAGATAGGAAAACATTCAAAACTAGTCCCACAAGTATAGAGGGGTGACATTTTTGGTCCCGATAGAATGCAGAAAATTCAAAACTAGTCCCACAACTTGTAAAAAAATATGAACACGTCGGATGCCACGTGGCGTTCCGGGTCGGAAATAGTAAATCCGGCGAAAAAGTCCTACTTTTGATCATTTTTTAAAAGATGTGAGACTATTCATATTTTCTACATTCCGTCGGGACCAAAATTGTCACCCCCTATACCTGTGGGACTAATTTTGAAATTTTCCCGCAAAATGATGCACTTAACAACACAAAAGCATAAAGCACTAAAGTTTCCAAAGCAATCTCAAATTTTAACCTTAAACGTAATTGTTTCTTATGGGAGAAACACAAACGCGCAAATACATCCTTCTACAATGTCATTTTCATTTAAAAAATTCCAACATCTTCCTGCATCAATTTTTTTCTTTCATCCTGAACTATTCCATTCCATAGTTAATCTCACTGACTTTAAGAAAAAATTTAGTGGCCTCGTCGTTGGAAATGGGAGATGTTCCACGGACTGCTTCCTTCGGACATCACTCTCCGTATCGCGAGCACGCTACCCCCACGTAGCGCGGCGGGCATGGATCGTCTTGCTTGGAAGTTCTCACATAATGGTCGCTTCAGTGTTAAGTCTACGTATCAGGCTCTGTCGAGCTCAAACAACGACCCCGACAAAGGGCTCTGGAAATTAATTTGGCGGGCTTCTGTCCCTCAGCGTGTTCGGACATTCCTGTGGCTATCCGCTAAAGCCCGACTTCTTACTAACCAGGAGCGGCTTCGATGACACCTCTCAAGTTCAGCGGGCTGCAATTACTGCGGGGAGACTTGAGTCCCAGTACACGCATATTGATCTCGTAGCTCGTGAATCCGGCATCGTAAAAGAGCTTCGCCCATTCTTTCACTGTTCTTTCCTTTCCCCCGAGCATAGCCATCATCTCCATATCAAAAAGGAGCTGAGTCTCCACTGCCATCGACTCATCATTCCCTTTCTTCTCCTCCACAACAATCTCCACTATTATCACCTTTCCTCCATTCTCCCTACTCGGGATAGCTTCTTTGCATCTCTTTAGTATTTTAATACAATCCACGTCCCCCCAGTCGTGCATCACCCACTGTGCTCCACCAATCGTCAAGTAATTAATTTTTCAAAAATCACAAAAATAAATTGAAATAAACTGTAGTACGTAATTAAAAATTACCTTCATGAACACTGCATCAGCCCGTCAGGCAATGCCATGTGTNNNTCATGTGTTTAATTGTGATAATCTCTAATTGTTTGCTATTTATAGAGGCGGATTTTCGGTGTGGCATGTATGCAACGTGACACGACTTTTTCAAGGGCTCCTTACACTAGAAAACGTAGACTTTTTCAATGACAGTGAAATTGATTTCAACAACTCGGACAGTCTCCGTATCTGTAAGAACTCAATGCCGGAGGGGGAGGGGGTCCCAGCGTCGGGCCTCCGATGCATAAATCAGCACTTACTCCAAATCAAGAGTGCAAAATGAGAGTGTACTGATCAATGTAGAGAGTGGAGTTTTGTGTAGGAAAGAAATTTCAGAACGTAAAATTTGATTTATTGATTATCCAATATTCAACCTACAATTGATATTTGATGTGGCTATGTGGTTTCCGCGGTTATTAATGTCTTGGGCTCATTTTACTGACCATTGACATTGTACTTGTTTGACAGTAGAGACCATTACATTAATATTCCTACACAACTAAAAGTGGAATTTAAGCCGAAACCAAACATGGTCATATAAATCCTACACAACTTTGTGGAATTAAAGCTAAAGTCAACTTAAAAACTATAAGCAACTTTGAGACGTTTGATGGAAGTAATAATCAATACATTAAAGAGGTGTTTGTTTATAAATTTTTTTTCAATTCGTACCCAAAATATAAATTAATTTTAACCAATTTCACTATCCTCAATATTATCCATATAAGTAAATAATATCAATCAATCATTGTTACACATTACATCAACTTTAATTCACTATGTATCTATTCATATAATTTTGACTATCTATCACTTCACATCATTTCAATCAATGGTGGGTTTGGATAGCTTTACAAACACCACTCTTAGCTATTAATTTTAATAAATTCTTATAAATTTATTTCTTTTACTATTTACTCTTTCAAATTTTAGTGTTATATTATTGCATAATTTCTCTATGTAATGAAAATTTATTTTCTTTTTATTTTTTTCAAATTATAAAAATATAGTTGAAAACAATAATGAAATTTAACAAAATTTTGGCATGCTTTAATTTCACACATCAAGATAAAGCGGAATTTTGAACTTGATTTGTGGAATGGATAAACTCTTTGATTTGTGTGATAACAATGTTATCTTCCATTGTCCATATGTATGCAAATTCTCAACTATAAAACTCTGGGTAGCTTAGTGTAAGTTTAAAATATACATCTTCATTTTTGTATGTGGTCCAAAGTGAAAAAAAAGGTATGTCACATTGAATTTGAAAGATAATATAAATTGTATAAAATAACTAAATGTGTATAATAAAAAGAGGATCAGATGGATAAAAAAATAAATAGAAAAACAATATTAAAGTTTTAAGGAAGTAATTGTAACATGTTCCATACAGTATGTATTATGTAGGATGGGCAAAAGAGATTAGTGGTACTATATCTAGAGTATTTTATTCAATACTCACATCTATACGTATTACTAGATAAATCCGTTGAACATTTTCTGAACATTTGAAAAGAAAACATGATTGAAATTCTTTATCTCTACTTTTATATATATACAATAATTCTTTATCTCTACTCTTATAATATATTACACTATATATATGTATTTTAATAAAGTTTATTATTCAGATTTTGTTAATAGAAAAGTAAATGGGGGAGGTTTTAGATGATTTATTATTGAGTAAATTTTTATTATAATAAAAATGTATATTATATTAATTTTTTTCCTTTTTCTTTTAACCATAATTGTTGGATAGAAAACAAAATCCAAACTTTTAATCTGGTTGCGACTTTGTTTTATTCTAATTGCGAATTTATACGTTCACTTTGATTCCCATTCCGGGCATTGGAGGGATGCAGACTTTGTTTCACTATGATTCCATTTCTTCAGTCGCGTGGTAGTGGATCAAATTTGCTTAAATGAACTAAAATAAAAAAATTAATTAGATAAAATAATATCTATATTTATTTTTAAAATATTTGTCTAGAATTTCCTACAATATTAATCAAATTAGCTTTCCATTACTAGCAACAATCAAGTGTATAGACAAGATTTGTTAAATAAAACAATTACGATATATTTAAAAATATTAAAATTATATCACATTCTATAATTAGTTTTTTAATAAAATTTTATATTTTTAGTACAATTGGTAGGAAATTATATACTATACAAATATAAATTTTATAAATAAATTAAATTATGGTAAGAAGACCAAAAAAATAAAAATAAATAATAAAATGTCGAGATGGTGAGTAGTAGTAATATCATACTGCTAATGATAACTTTGAATATGCTTGGAGATGGCAAATGGATGTAAGAAAATACAATTTTTTTTAAAAAAAAAAAAAACTAAAATACTAAGTAGAAAAATGGTGTGTATTCATTTACTAGTACGTACCCCGTGCGATGCACGGGATATATTAAATGAGTTATTTTCACACTCTTGTCCGTTTAAGTCTAAAAAATAATAGGGTTATTATCTATTTTCTACCTGTTTTAATCAACGTTAAGTCTAAAAAACAACAGGGTTGTTATAAGTTTTTTTCCACATCTTTTAACTAGCGTTGTTTTTTTAGTCAGAACATTAAATATGGGCATGTTAGAGGTAGCTTGTAAAATAATTAATATATTATCTCACTAAAACATTTATACTAATAAAATATAATTTTAGCATATAAATTTATCCATTGATATAAGAGAAAGTAACAATTTTACTTATTGTTGTTCACTATATAATATTTAATTCTTATTTTATTATATAATAAAAAGGAATACTGTTAAATAGTGTAGTAGAATTGTTATAAAATTATATGAATTATTTTTTTTATAATATGGATTTAGTATCTTTTTATGATTTGATAATATAATTATAATATATTCTTAATGATACAATCTCAAATCGTATTATAGAATTTCAACACATAAATAATAAAATTTTTGGTGAAAAGATAAGAAGAAAATTTCAATTTCAATCTACAAAAAGTTTAAAACAATTTTATGAGATTTTGTTGACTAAACGGATTGTGTGAGATAAAAAGAAAACAAATAGAAGATAAGAAGGAAATTTCAAATATACAAAAAATTAAAGCCGATTTTGTGGGATTTTTTCGCAGGAAAAACAATTGTATGGGAATAGTAATAGAATTAATTGAATCGCATAACATTAATTTCAATATAAATTAATTAAATAAAATACATGCTGGAAATAATAATAACATTAATTGCAATTGATTTTTTTAGATATTATATGTTGTAAATAGGATTCTTTTTTATATAAGTATAGGTTTGTATGTGATAGATAGTTATCCTTATTAATTAATAAATACATTCTTATTTATATACGTTACCACAGCGGTGGCAGCACTCGCAAAGTTACAACACTAATAAGAAATGCAAGGGTCATCTCCTGTATAGAAATGGTCGAACAACAAAAGAGACAAAACATTATTCATTCAACTTTCACGCATCATACAAAAGGAGGGGACTGATTGAGTGATTGATTCAGAACATTAACCTTTGATGTACAATTAAGATGGATTTCTTCGTTCTACTTCACCTAACAAAAGACTAATAAATAAATACAGGGAGAGGGCTCAACTTGCCTTCCATTTCTAGATCTCCCTGCACTATTCAGAAACTTTTCAGGCCTACATAACACGAGCAGGAGTCCACAAAAAATGGGGCAGGTCAACCTACAAACTCTTCTGAAAATGCCAAATCAGATTGTTACATCACGGATTATGTTCAACGAGTTTAGCCATAGTAGTAATTACACAATGGGCTGTGGAAAGCATGGGAAAACGTTAACTAGTATATATGTGAGAACTCCGATCCTTGATTTTGCAAGGCTTAATATGAGCATTTCACTGAAGAAGGCCATGTTCGGTTGAATTATCTCCTCCAAATATTGTCATGATCTGTCTTACATGCATACATGTGTGGGAGGTATGGAATAAAAAATTGTGAGTTGCAATCTAGAAAGGTCTAGTTGAAAAGTTCAATCCACAATATACATAGATGCTCTAGCTAGTATAAACGGGCTTAAACAAACAATCACAATCATGCCAGAATTTATTTTAATGTCAGCATTCAATTTTACAATTCAATCATCAGCCATGACGCTTTAATTAATGTTTTATCTTAAAGTAGCCAGCAATTATGTCTTCCACAGAAAGATCAATTTAAGTAGTTCATGGATAAACTTGGATGAGCGACCTGAGTCCCAGTAAACGCATATTGATCTCGTAGCTCGTGAATCCGGCATCGTAAAAGAGCTTCGCCCATTCTTTCTCTGTTCTTTCCTTTCCCCCGACCACAGCCATCATCTCCATATCAAAAAGGAGCTGAGTCTCCACTGCCATCGACTCATCATTCCCTTTCTTCTCCTCCACAACAATCTCCACTATTATCACCTTTCCTCCATTCTCCCTACTCGGGATAGCTTCTTTGCATCTCTTTAGTATTTTAATACAATCCTCGTCCCCCCAGTCGTGCATCACCCACTGTGCTCCACCAATCGTCAAGTAATTAATTTTTCAAAATAAATTGAAATAAACTGTAGTACGTAATTAAAAATTACCTTCATGAGCACTGCATCAGCTGGAGGAATAGACTCAAACATATCCCCACTAACAAAGCTCAAATTTGGAGTCCCTTCCAACCCATCCACCACATGCGGAAGATCGAGCACGCTGCACTTCAAGCCCGGGAAGGCATCCGCTATAGCCTCAGCCATAGCCCCCGTGCCGCCGCCTACATCCACCAGTGACCCCAACCCCCGAAAAACGTGCCCGCACTCCCTAACGACCACATTAGCCACCAGCCCTGCATCGCTCGCCATCCCCTTGTTAAAAGATCGATTTACCCCCGGCTCTTTAGCGGCAATATCCCAAAGCGTTACACCATTGGTCGTCTCCAGGGGCGTGGGGTCGTCGTTCGAGAACCACTGGCTGAGGCAGTGCCACGGGTCGGTTAGGACGTGGCTGAGCATCACGTGCACAAACGGGGCCAGGCTCAGGGGCTCGTTTTTCACGAGGAGGCGGGAGGCCGGAGTCAGGCAGTAGCCATCCTCCGTGTCGGTGATTTTGACTTTGGTCAGCAGCCGGGAGTTGACCAGCAGGCGCACGAGGCGCCGTAAGCTGGTGGATCTCGAGCCGTTGATTTTAAGGGAGTCGGTTAGTTGGGAGATTGTGATGGGGCCGTCGTGTTTGTGGATGATGTCGGGGATGCCGAGTTCGACCGCGCATTTTAAGGACATTGAGTTTATGAAGCATAGGGTGTGATTCCAAATCTGGGCTTGAGCCTCCAGTAGCCCTTTACTAGAGGTTATCCCGTCAGGCAATGCCATGTTTGTTTGCTTGCTTTTTT